CGTAAAAAGGCAAAAAGGTAAAAAGCTGCATTACCATGGAAGAAACTATCGGGAGACTGCTAAAGCAACAGCAGGACTTTTTAGTGGACGTATTGAGTACAAATAGAGCATGGATGATTGCACAATTGGAAGAGCAAAAAACAAATCTTGCTAAAATGCAAGAAAATCCTCGTGAGCCGACCATAACCTCAACAAATATATCCGTGCCAGCCTTTCCACCGTATGTGCATACAAAGCAAAGTTTTGACTCGTACATCGCACAATTAACCCAGCATTTCGAAGCGTATTCAGTCACGAAGCAGGAACAGAAACGAGCATTTTTGCTCTCGTGGGTAGGAGCCGACTGTTTTGAGCTGCTATCCAAACTTTTCGGCACAGAAGACATACAAACGCAGACATACGAAAGCATTAAAGAAAAGTTGTCAACGCACTACAAGGAAAATGTTCACATACTGGCCTCAAGATACGAATTTCTGTCATCGAAAATGAAACCAGAACAAAAGTATTCAGAATGGGTTGCTGAACTGCGGGGCATAGCGCGGAATTGCAGGTTCGTGTGTAGTAACAATACTTGCAAAACGTCATTTATAGATGACCTGCTTCGAGACATTTTAGTTTTGAATTCGCCACATGAACCGGTACGCACTGCAGCACTACAAAAGCCTAATCCGGCACTCGCAGATGTTATGGCTTTAGCCGAAAGCTATGAAACAACACAGGCCATGAAAAAGCGGATGTCATCTAGCACAGCAGAACGCAGCGAAGTATTTCAGCTGAAACAGCACCAAGCTGAAAAAAAGCTTAAGCCAAGCGCAAGCAAGAGTAACTGTTTTCAATCCTGCTCTGGGTGCGGGAAGCACCACTCCAGAAGCCAATGCAAATTCCGTAATGCACAATGCCGAAAGTGCAATCGTTTCGGCCATATCGCACCAGTTTGTAAAGCACAAAGTGCAATTACCGACAATAAAAATAATAAAAAGGAGAAGCAACCGCAGACTAACAACAATAACGCTCAGCGAAGTGTGTCAACGATCAACTTTGTTGCTTCAATTACGAGCACCGTGCCAAACAAAGTAGGAAACAAATATCTGATTGAAATAGGGGTGAATGAAGTACCAGTCAAGTTTCAGATGGATACCGGCGCCACTTGCTCCGTGATTGGCTTAGATGTATATAATGAAATTGGAAAGCCAAGTCTTACGCCCTATCCAACTGGTAAGCTAATCGCGTATGGGGGAAGTGCTGTAAGCATTTTGGGAACTATTGATGTCACTATTCATCATGGGCAAATTAAACGGCTAGTGAAACTTGTTGTAGCTAATGTTCAGCAAAATAGTGAAATCCTTGGAACGGATTTGCTAGAAGAATTGGGATTATGCGCCTGCCAAGCACATCACGTAAACGCCGTTACGACGGATCCTAACGAAAATATCGAAGGGCTTTTGAAAAAATTTGCAGATGTGTTTGAAGGCACGTTGGGTTATTGCACAATTTCAAAAGCTGAGTTACGGCTAAAACATGATGCGACACCTAAGTATTTCAAATCTCGCCCTATACCTTTCGCGCAATTGAAGGACTTCAAATTAGAGGCACAGCGTCTAACGGACTGCGGGATATGGAAACCAATTACGTTCAGCAAATGGGCAGCACCCATCGTAGTGGTTCAAAAAAAAGACGGGCTTTTGAGGATATGCGGTGACTTTAAAGCTGTGAACGCACAGCTCGAGGTAGATCACTACCCAATACCCCGCATTGAAGAACTGTGCCGCAAGCTAAGAGGAGGCACAATCTTTGCCAAAATTGACCTTTCAGACGCATACTTGCAAGTGGGTCTGACCGAAGAAGCGAAGCAGCTAATGGTTGTTAATACCCCATTGGGCTTGTTCCAGTATCAACGCCTGCCGATGGGAGTGGCCAGCGCTCCGGCCCTTTTTCAGAAGCTATTGGAACAAGTCATTGAAGGTATTCCGATGTGTATTAATTATCTTGACGATATATTAGTAGCTGGTAAGTCAATACAAGAGTTATTGGAAAATTTGCAATCAGTATTCGAGCGACTGCAAGCATCTCGGTTAAAATGCCGCAAATCCAAGTGCACTTTTATGCAGCGTCGAGTTGAATATGTCGGATTTGTGTTGGATGCAGCGGGTTGCACGCCATCTCCAGCTAAGGTTTCAGCTATAAGTGAAATGCCGCGGCCTAAAAATTTTAAGGAACTTCAAGCATTCCTGGGTAAAATTAATTATTACAATAAATTTATATCGAATTTTGCAGATAAGGCTGCTCCGCTTAACCAGCTACGTAGGCAAGGCGAAAAATTTCGGTGGGGAGAGAAGCAAGAAAAAGCGTTTCTAGCTCTTAAGCACCAATTGAGTAGAGCACCTTTGCTAATTCATTTCGATGACCAGTTACCCCTTATTTTGGCAACAGACGCATCTTCGCATGGAATAGGAGCTTTTATATCGCACAGAATGCCGGATGGGTCCGAAAAGCCCATCGCGTTCGCATCTAAGACGCTTGACCACCACCAAATACGTTACAGTCAGATAGAAAAGGAAGCGCTTTCTATTGTATTTGGTGTCAAGAAGTTTCACCAATTTCTGTTTGGTCGCCAGTTTACATTGCTCACAGACCACAAACCGCTGGTGTCGATATTCACCCCTGATAAGCAACTACCGTCTGTGATGATACAACGCCTTCAGCGCTGGGCATTACTGCTCATGTCCTATCGGTATACTATACGATATAGGCCAACGGATAAGCATTGTAACGCAGACGCTCTATCTCGGCTTCCAGTAGGGCCGGATGCCGAGTTCGACCAAAGTGAAGCATGCATGCAGGTCGAATCTGACCTAACTGCTTCACCACTTAATGTGCAACATCTGGCAAACCTAACTGCAAAGGATCGCACTCTTAAACAAGTGTGGCGATTCATCGAAAAGGGGTGGCCTGAGAAGCTTCCATCGCAACACCGCGAGCTACAGCCGTATTTTGTTCACCGGCACGCGCTTAGTTTGGAAATGGGGGTCATTATATTGAGAACAGAGTACACGCGTGTGGTCCTACCGTTGACGGCACAAGCAACCGTCCTTGAATTGCTGCATGAAGGACACTGGGGTATGACGCGTATGAAGCAAATGGCGCGTCAACACTGCTGGTGGCCCTCTATGGATACACACATAGAAAAGAAAGTTTCACAATGCGAAATATGCCAACAGCAAAGTACATCTTCACCAGCTCGAGCATATACAAATTGGCCTGTAGCTGAACGTCCATGGCAGCGCTTACACTTGGACTTTGCCGGGCCGTTTCATAACGCTACTTGGCTTATATGCATCGACGCATTTTCGAAATATCCATTTGTAACAAAGATGGCCAGTATAACGGCTAAAGCAACGATCGATGCCTTAAAAGTAATATTTTCTGTCGAAGGTCTGCCTGATACCATAGTCACGGATAACGGACGGCAATTCTCAGCGGCCGAGTTCCAGGTTTTTTGTAACAGCAATGGGATTACGCATCTCACCACTGCGCCTTTTCATCCGGCATCGAACGGCGAAGCTGAACGCTTTGTGCGCACCTTTAAGCAAGCCTTTAAGAAAGCAGTCGCGGACGGTAAAAATCATTTAGATTCTCTACTAACCATTCTTAGCACTTAAAGAACTTGTCCCATTGGCAGTAGCAATAAGTTGCCAGCGGAATTGCTACATGGCCGCCAGCCAAAAACACGGCTTAATATGCT